AATATGACCCCCAAACTCCCTCATAAACAGTCTAAATGTCTGCCCATTATTCTTATTAGCACAGTGTGGCATACTTCAAGTGCTTAGTTAACTACTTAGTTAACTTGCTGAATAAATGAAGAGCTTAGCCAAGTCATTTATCCTCTCTGAATCTGTTTCCTCATGTGGTAGATAAATAATGGTTATTATTCTTATTTCACTTGTGTTGTCTCTCCCCATACTGTATCAGTCTGCTATCCCCTTTCCCAGATCTTGTACCAAAGAGGCTGCCCTAAGTAAACCTCCTTTATTAAGGGTCACAAAGGGCAGATGTGTCCAAGGCCTTTTTCTTTCCTCTAGTGTCCCTTCATTTCTTTTTCTATCCCAGGCAAACCTTGGGGTATAGCTCTGGAAACTCAGAGCAAGTGTTGAAACCTGAAATTAAAACTCTAGCATATATTCACAAATACACAATGAACTCTGCTGCCTCCCTAGAGGATTGGGTTTGGGCGGCAACCTGAAGCTCTGAGCCCCTTATGGGCCCCCATTTGATTCAAATGTCATCAGTATCACAGACTAGCAGGCCTCCTACCTCTTCCCCCATTTCTTCATGCAGAGCTAGCCAGGCTTGAGGAGCTGGTCCCCTCTGGGGACTGATCCCATCAGCACTGTTCCAACTCTGGAAGCTTCACTGTGAGCTAATTCCTCTGGAGTATGTGAACCAGAGGAAAGGCAAACAACTCCCAGAATGTGAAGATAGGGCAAGGAAGATTTTCCAGAAGTAGTCATGAGGTAGGCTCAGCTATGTACTCTTTAACCCATACTTCCTTGTGAATACATACCTTTAGGGGAAATCACTGGCATCCTAAATTTGAGAGCAATTCATATGGGAGCAAAACAAACCTTGTCTCTCTTTAAAGGGAACAGCTAGAATTGACTCCCTGTGGTTTTATTTCCCCCCCCCTTTTTCTCTCAGAAAGACTAATGGACAGAAAAGATGGGGGTAAAGCTGGGTTATCTGATAGCATGTGGAGTATATCTCTCTAAGATATACCTTCTTTTTTTTTTTTTAAATTAATTTTATTTTATTTGTGAACATACTGTACAGAGGAGTTACAGTTACATGGGCAGGATAACGCGTACATTTCTTACCAAGCATTGCAGCCTCCTCCTTTGTTTATCCTTCACATCCCTTCCCAGCCTCCCCCCTCCCCCCCTAATCCCAATCCTTCTCCTTCCCCCCCCCACCCCCCGGACCAACGTTGTAAAGCTCGTTTTGGACATGACAACTTGTACTTCTCATTGTTGCAACAGGTCCACCTGTATCCTTAAAAGATATACCTTCTTGAGTCTGGTTGCCAACAGGCTAAACTCTCAGCCTTTGTGCTTGTAAGGGATTTTGTGAGAAGGAGAAAAAAAAAAACAAGCTCAAAGGCTGAACAAATTCAACTAGACATGGTGGATGACCTCCCTCACCTATAGTGGGGCTAAATGCATCTAATAGCTTATTGACATATCACCTCCCTATGTCACCCTGTGTCCTCAAACCTGCTTTTTGTTTTGAATGGTGTGCAAAGCTCAGTGAGAAACAACCAGCTTCACTGTGGATTTTACTTGCAAGAACAAATGGCTGTCTTGGAGATAGGTTCAGGAAAATCTTTTAGAATGTAGAAAATTCAGCAGCCTTTCCACACTGACCATTGTCATGGCAACACACTATCTGATGGCAGCCTGCGTCACCAGGCTGAGGGGCATGGTATCAGTATAGCAGGTTAGCTTGGCCATTTTTAGCAACATTGGACTTTTTTCTAGCTTCATTTCTTCTAGTTTGAGCTGATTTTCTTTTTGATTCTGGACTCGTGTACTCTGCCGATTTCCATAGCTAGAATGTAAGACTTTGTTAATATGAAAGAAGATGGCTAAATGGAAAAATTTGAACATTCCTAGTATTCTGTAGACTCTGTACTTGCTGTCCGCCCTTCCTGGATCCTCATCACCCACTATAAGTGACTTCCATTCTTCTCCTCTGCATTGATTCTTTCCTATATAACACAGCATTACACCCCCCTCCTTCCCTCCCGCCCCCCCGCAACTGTGACTCATCCACCAACCTTGCACTCTTACCATAGTCTTTTTTTTTCTTTTTTTCTGTGTTCTCATTGCAATGTACAGCATCCTGGAATTTTAGGGTGGGAAGGAACCTTGACAATAATTCAGTCTAATCATCCTCCCCACTCAAAGAAGAAGCAGCTTAAGAGTGTGACAGCCAAGTGATCTTCTAGCCTATACTTGTATATTTCAAATGACAGAGACTGGATTCTTTTATGGGCAGCCTGCTCTACTTTGGGAAGCTGTAAGTGTTAGAAAAATCTGTCCTTCAATTGAAAGAAAATCAGTCTTTAAAAAATAATATCTATTCATGGATTCAGCTCTGTGCCCTGTGGCCATATAGACCCTGTCTGTCCTCTGCTTTGTGACAGCCTCTGCAGAGATATGAAATAGAGATTATGTGCCTTTCCTTCTCCAGAAAGCTTTAGCTTCTCCAAGCAGACCTCTTGGAGCCTGGGCTCTGTAGTCCATCTGACCTCCTAGAACATGCTCCTATTTGTCTAGAGCCCTTTTAAAGTGAGGTCGATACTGCATCAGTATCTCTGGAGGCCACCTTGCCCCACTGACTCATGCTGATCTCTGTGTCAACTACAATCCCTAATTCTTCTTTCAGATAAAATGCTGCTAAGCCTTGTCCTTTTATTTGGTATGTGTCTAGTTGCTTTAGAGGACCCAGTTCCTCATCCATATGTTTTTCTCCCAGTTTAGATTCATTGTTACAACCAGAATACTGATTTAACCGAACAGAATCTTCAAAAAAATGACTTCCATGTAACTTCCATTTCCTCTAGGATTTATTTGCTTTTCACCCAAGGCTAGAGCCTTTAAAAAAAATCTCATCTCTCATTCATTTCTCTTTTAGGTGTCTTACCTCTCCTAATTCTTTTCCCTTGTCATTTACTTTCCTTATGATTTTCCAGGCTTGACATTTCTATTTCTTCTATATCAAGATGTCACACTCTGTAGAGCTATGGGGACTAGAGATGTGTGCAGAGAAACAGGGCACACACATACTCCCACACACATAGGTGTGAGTAAATCGCTGCAGAGGCTTGTAGGGTTTCTCTGTTTTTATTGCTCTGTCTGCGCTTTACCAGGATTTAGAGACTGGATAGGAAAAGGGGCAGAGTTGAAGAAAAAGTGATAAAAATTGGTCTAAGATGAGTCCTGAAAGAAACTGGAAGTGTGTTTGAGTCTGAGAGGCACAGGGGGAAACCAGGGAAGGATTGCTGGCATTCATCAGGGCTGCAGCACAGGGGGAAGGACTGGAGAAGAGCCAGCTCTGGAAAGTCTTGAAGATAAGGGAGGATTATTTGGTTAGGAAATGAGGACTTGTGGGGTGAGTAGCCATTGATAGATCAGAGGGAGATGGCTTCAAACAGCAGAGTTAGGAGGAGGCTGAAGGCAATAAACAATGCTTTGAGAGTCCACGACTTATTAGCTTCCAAAATTTCTCTGGCCAAAGCTCAGAACATGGAATCTTTGCGTAAAGGCACTACTATCATCATAGAGTAGTCTTTGCTGGTGGATATAGGGCTTAATATAACCCTCAACAAAAACCCTTAGGACATAGAATGTTCCCTCAGACTAACTGCAGCCTCCTTTCATGCTGGATTACATTCCAATGAGGGAGCCCAAGGTTCCAGAACTGGCACTATCTTAGTAATTTTATGAATAAATGGCAATTTTACTCTTTACAACAGGCAATATGATACCTTTGACTTCTTAACTCTGCAAATAATTAGAATCCAAAAGCTACACAGGACATAACACAACGATTATATCAATTATACAGGAAAATAGCTGCTTGAAATACATAAAAGCAAATGGTAAATGGGAAGTGGGTTGTAAAGAAGCAGCTGGGGCTGATCTGGGGCACTACTGGAGAACTGAGGGTAGTGACCCTACACAGCTTGTGGACAGTATGATCAGGAGGGCAATGGTCCAGTGATCACCATTTCCCCTGAACTCTGAGGCTGGAATGACTCCAAGGCAACCTCAGGGGAGAGAAGAAGAAAAGTACAGCTGTTCCATTCCCTGCTCCACTCTAGGTAAAACTGGGGAATCCATTCCCAGGCCATGAGAATCCCTGACTACTTACTGGACTTTCACAGTCTCTCAAGGCTCTATTACACCAAAGATACATCCACACTAGAAAACAATATCTGTGAGCCCATTTCTCACTTGGACTCCTTCAGGGCTAAACTGACTTTAACTTCTTTCATCTTTTTTTTTTTTGTGCCAGTCCTGGGCTTGAACTCAGGGCCTGGGTGCTGTGCTCGAGATTTTTTTTTTGTTGTTGTTGTTCAAGGCTAGCACTCTAACATTTGAGCTGCAGCTCCACTTCCAGTGTTTTTGTTTGTGGATGACTGGAGCTGAGTCTCACAGACTTTGTTCCCTGAGCTGGTGTTGAACTGTGATTCATAGATTTCAGCCTCTTGAGTAGCTAGGATTACAGATATGAGCCACTGGTGGCTGGCAAACTTCCCTCATCTTAAACTAGAGAGTTTTCTTTACAGTGCTGTAGATGGAATCCAGGGCTTTACACGTGCTAGGCAGACATTCTTACATTGTGCCACACACTTAGCCCTTAAACTCAGTTTTACGAGTTGGCCTTTTGAAAGAAAAAGTATGTCAGGACAGATTTTAGAAGTGATTTCCCCCTTAGAGGTGCCTAATGATGAACCTTTTGTTTTTCTGAAGGTGACATTAGCCAGCCAAATGACAATATCAACCAGTGGCCTGTGATGGATTCTGGCTACAAGCTGTCAAGCCCAAAAGATGTTTCCTTTCCAAGTCAGTGAAATGATTAGGCAGGAAAAGACAAATGGTATTTGAGGAAGTCCCCCCCACGAAGGGTTACCACAAACTGAGTGGAATCAGGAGGGCAGAACTTGAAGGGTGGTGCTCACCTTTGATGTAGTTGAGGATTTTCTGGATTTGGTGGGGCTCATTGCGGTCTGGCCGGCAGCTTGGCGTGATTTCCAGCACATAATCAGGACCATATGCTGTGAAAAACTGTAAGGAAAAGGGAAAGGCCAAAAAACAAACTAAACCACATAAAACCTCTAAGCCAAACCACATACAAACAGGACAATCAAAAGAAACTTACCTCTACCAACAAGGCCAAGAAGGCTTCACTGGGCAGGAGGCCCTGCAATGGTGGCATTACTGTTCCTTTAGCCTTCAATGACATGAGATTACTCAATTGTTTTTTTTGGGGGGGGGAGGAGTCCGGTCGTGGGGCCTGAACTCTGGGCTAGGGCACTGTCCCTCAGCTCTTCAGCTCAAGGCTAGTGCTCTACCACTTGAGCCACTTCCGGCTTTTTTTTCTTTTTGCTTATGTGGTGCTGGGGAATCGAACCCAGGGCCTCATGCATGCAAGGCAAGCGCTCTACCACTGAGCCACCTTCCCAGCCCAGATTACTCAATTGTTTAGCTTGCTATTCAATGGCTCCTTTGCTCAGGTCTTAACTTCTGTCTCCATCAATAGTTTTTATCTCTCCCAGTTATCTAGCACACAACCCTGTTCTGTGCTCTCCCAGACATCCCTGTGTTGTCTTCCTGTAGGATCTTTGTCATTGCTCTTTCCTGGGGCTTGCAAAGGCCCACCTCCAATCCCTACTGCCTGAATTGTGCGTATGTGGGATTCCTCATCCTTCCAGGTGAAGATGAAATGTTAGTCCCTTTACAAGCTGTCTCTTATTCTCCACCAAACCCCACAGCATTCTGTTGGCACCTATCTTACGGGCCTCGTTTGCTTTGGTAGACAGACCTGGACTGCCTAGCATATGCAGGTCACATGCCAGTGGCAGTGAGGACTGTAATCATGGAGGTGGCTTCCTTTGCCATGCTCTAGGTATTCACAAGCACATTCTGAATCAGATGATAGTTTCCCACAATATCTGGATTTCTCCTCTTCCACACTGGATCATCAATTCTGTGAAGGCAGCAGTCCTCATGTTTTCATCTCTTATGGCCTCAGCCCATGGCAGCTGCCTTAGACATTGGGTGCCTTGCATCCCTTTCCCCAGGAATGGCAAACAAGTTGAGTTTTTCTATTTTAGATTTTATTCCTCTGTAGTGCAGTTTGTTTTTTAAATTCAAGGAATCAAATTAAAAGTTTGTGGATTCTATTTCTGACTTACTTGATGACTCCTTGTGACCCCTGATAAGTCATAATAACTGACTGAGTTTCTGTGTTAGGGTCCATTTGGTGGAAAACACTACAACAAAGGGAATCATTCAATTGAGCCAAGTCTTTGAATGTGGGATAAACAAAGCTACTATTTCTGTTTAGTTTTGAACAGAAATAGTATTTGTGTACACTCTCTGGAGAGACAGCATATGGTCCTTAAAACTATGTGCTTTCAACAGTGATACTGTCAGAGGATAAGAAAACCAGGGAAATTCAAATTCCATGAAAAAGAAAATGGTACAGTGAGCATGAAAACAGGGATCTTGATATGTGTCATAATTTCAATGCCATTCAAAGAGTTTTTTACAAACAATCCACACTTATTGCCATTGTCACCAAATTATCCTTGTTAGGAGTCTACATGTGCATCTGGCATTGTGGGAGATGTTGTGGAACAATCTCTAGGGATTCTTGCAATGGAATCTATGGGAGTCATTTGATGGGGAGATAGTTTTTGCACATCCACGACAGAAATGTCTGCACATTTAATTTAAATGAAAATGCCTCAGATTGCGCTACTAATGCCATGTTATGTGCATGAGCATGTGTGCGTGCATGTGTACGCTAACTTAGAATGGCAGGAGGACTTAGGTCTTTCCTGCTGCATGAAGCCTGACACCCCAAATTGTAGAAATGGAAGAAGCTATAAGTTGAAATGGTCTTTAGCAAATGCATATATGGAACAGAGATGAGAGGCTACTTGAGGAAAAATTCAGAAACTAACTTTCCACTGTGGCTGAGGAACTATAAGGAATTCCCCTCCCTCTTTTTGTACTGAGGCTTGAATTCAGGAATTGAGTGTTTTTCCTTAGCTTTTTTCACTCAAGGCCAGTTATCTACCACTTAAGTTACAGCTCTATTTTTGGCTTTTTGGTTCTTAATTGGACATTAAGAGTCTTATGGACTTTTCTGCTTGGGCTGGCTTTGAACTGAGATTATGTTAGTTTTCAACCTCCTTATTAGTTAGGATTATAAGTTTAAGCTACCAGTGTCTAACAAGCCTTGTATTTTTAACCAAGGAGGGCTCCTTGGTACGAGCCTAAGGACTTTGTGGGCTTGGCTCTGAAAGAGAAGGCTTCAAACAGGTGTAGTGCCCTTGCCTTATGTAGCCTCTTTTCAACAGGGTCAAATGCCACACTCATCTCATGGATATGGAAAGAGAGGCTTACAAAGAGCACAGCAGGGCTGGGAAGGTGGCTCAGTGTAGAGTGCTTGCCTTACATGCATGAGGCACTGGGCTCGGTTCCTCTGCACCACATAAGCATATAAAGCCGAAGTGGTGCTGTGGCTCCAGTGGTAGAGTGTTAGCCTTGAGCTGAAGAGCTGAGGGACAGTGAGAGAGGCCCAGAGTTCAGGCCCCACAACTGACAAAAAAAAGGAAGAAAGAGCACAGCAGAAGAAAGGCAACTGCAATGATGTAGATCCCCTGGCAGACCCAAGCCCTTAGTATCATAATGCTATACAAATCAGAAGCAAGGGGCCTCACTGAGGTATAGGATGAGGGAACATTCTGTCTCTGCATGCAGAAATGACACTGATTCTTGGTCAGCAAGGCATGTCATGAGCCATTTGCCCAGGGCTGAGGGTTTGGAACAACATGTTCTTACTTGTGAATGCCTACTGTGTGGTTACCCACACTCTGCTACTTTAGTCTTCTTTGACCAGGAGCACACAGTGGCTAACCATACCATCAGCTGGGGCCAGAACTGACGACCACGTGACAGAATTCAGTTCTACTAGGATTAAACCTTTTGTCCTGGCTTCATTTGGAGCTGGCTTTAACTGTGCCACATATTGGGCAGTTATCAATAACCCATGCTTTGCTGAAGCAAGCTGCATGAAGTTAACAGCCATGTCTGACCACCCAAACTTGTCCCCACTTTTGTCAATCTAATACTATGCTCAGGTTCTGCTTCTTTGCACTGTTTTTGCATTAGGGGATTCAGATGATTTAAGGAAGTCCCAGTGTTGGGAGGCAGTTTCACATGGCAGCTTGCTGGCTCTGGTCTCAGAAGTTCTGCTTGGGGTACCAGTAAGACATAGACTCTATCTAAAGCAAAGGTGGTCCTGTGCGTCCCCTCTCTGGCTCACTCATGGCATTTCCCTGTTTCTGTGTTGTGTTTGAATTTTTCACTTGTCAAATTGCCTTTACCAGTATGAATTCTGCAAAGGTAGAAACTTCTGGCATGTTCTCTTTGAGTCAAACTCAAACCATTACAGCTTTTCCTTAAAGATATGTAGAATTAAATAGATTCACTACAGCTTTAGCTAACTGTTCAGTTAATTGTGTGGAGTAATTCAGAGTTCCCCCCAGAACAAACTGCGTCCCTAGGCTCTGGAGGCTTCGTGGTGTGGTGGAAAGAACACTGGCTTCACAGTCAGAGAAAGCTGGAATGTGGTACATGGATTTAGCTGTGTGCCTCTGGTAAGCTTGTTAATCTCTGTTTCGTCATCTCTACCTCAGGGATGATAAATGCTGACCTGGTTGGGCTGTTCGGAGGTAGGGAGATAATATCTACCATAAGCCGAACTCAGGATCTAGAATATAGTAGGCCTTTGATAAATGTGAATTCCTCTTTCCCAGTACAAGAGGCTTTTGCCTAACCATGTCTTATCCACATCCTGAGGGATGGTGGGTGAAGCTCTGATTCTGAGCTGAGATGCAGAAAGAAGAGCCTGTTCCTCGTGCCAGACCAAGCCTATTAACAACCCCAGTGTGTCCCTCCGCACTTGCTTCAGTAATGACTGAAGTTTAGCCTGGGGCCAGTGGAGGGACTGATTTCTCTCATAGTTTCCGGTACTGTGGTTTTGCCACTTGTTACTGACTAGTGAGGTAGAGAGGAAATATGATCACCGAAGGCAAAAGAGATGTTGGGGTGGAGGGATTTGGCCAGCACTCGAAATAGCTTGAGGCCCCACCCTGGAACTGCCCTCCAGCTCCTAAGAGGAAAGGAACTGCACGAAGCAATCCATCCCAGACAGGTGGGGCACTGGATGAAAGAGGCCAGCCGACCTTCAAGGGAAAACATTGGCTTTGATCTCAGCAAAGGAAGGAGGGAGGTACTAACCCCTCTCCACCCCTTCCCCTTCCCCTATCCCCTCAGCACTCCTATGGTTTCCAGGGTTCTAATGGAAGTATTTTGGAAGGGAACCTTGTACTGGGGATCAGGCAGTGGAAGGTATGAGGTGGGGTGGAGGGCGGGGAGTTGAAGGTAACAAAGGCTTTAGAGCAGTCTGTCATTTCTAGACCTTAGAGTCAATGAATAAAGGAATGTAAATAGCTCAGCTCCAGTATACATCAGCACAACTTAATGCTCCATTCTTGCTCAATCCTTTCCAGCTCTTGCTCACACAATGAAAACAGCATACAATTAGCTACTTGGTCAAAAGGATATCAGAAGAAGCCCTAAAGTTGCTGTATGCCTCGGTAATCCTGTTTGGTCACGGGAAACCAAGCCACAAACCTGAATCAGCCGATCCTTTTATCCTTCCCTGGACATTTAGTAAGTACCTACTATGTGCCAGTCTAGGTTAGTCACGGGGGTATAGGGACAATGAGACATGTTTAATAGAGGGTTTTTTTTTTTTTTTAAAGAATCAGTACAATGAGTGGTATAGTAATAATGTTAAAAATCAAAGTAATGCCAGCTAACATTTACTACAGGCTTATTTTGTGTTAAGCACTTTTGATAGATTGACAAACTTAATTCTTACAAGCAACCTGTGTGGTAGGGGACTATTATGGTTTCCATTTTAAGGCAAGGAGCTGAAATCCAGACTCATATACAATATGTGAAAAGCTGAGATTTGCATGGAGGTC